ACCAGCTGTTCCGCGGGAGAAAGATGAGGCGTTCTGCTCTCGTAAATATTTACATCCTCGGAAACCCTGTACAGGGTTGCTATGAGTCTTAATGGACTCCACGGCACATAACCACCAACCACCATATAAATATACAATGTAAAAACAAACAAACAAACAAACCTTTTAGAGTTTTTCCATTTGATACCAAAAGCATAACTAATTAAAAACATATTCAATTTTACTAAAAATTAAAAGCACTGATTGAAAAGACTCTTCTGCTAAAAGAATAAATAACAAGTTACAGACTTGGATAAAATACTTGCAAACTACTTATCTGACAAAAGATTGTTGTTAGGTACATAGCAGAAATGAAACACTGCCTGGTCCTGCACAATGCTCACAATTATTGCTGTTTGAGCCCATTGTTGCTGCCACTGCATCAATCCAGTTCATTGGGAATCTTCCTCTTTTATGCTGACACTCCACTTTTCCAAGCATGATGTCCTTCTTCAAAGACTAGTCCCTCCTGATGACATGTCCAAAATATAAGACACAAAGTTTCAACATTCTCACTGCTAAGGAGTATTCTGACTGTACTTCTTCCAAGACAGATTTATATGTTCTTCGGCCAGTCCATAATATTTTCAATATTCTTCATCAACAACATAATTCAAATGTATGGATTATTTTTTCTTACTCCTTATTCATTGTCCAACTTTCACATGCATATTGTTGTTGTTGTTAAGTGACGTTTTGTCGATTCCGACCCATAGAGACCCTGTATAAGTTTTCCAAGGAGCAGCTGGTGAACTTGAACCACCAATCTTGCAGTTCAAATGACTTTGCTGTCAGACGAATTAGCCCACCGCGCCACAGCAGGACTCTCATGCACATTTGGTGGTGGTGGTTATTTGCCGTGGAGTTGGTTCTGACTCATAGCAACCCTGTACAGGGTTTCCGAGGCTGTACACCTTTACAGGAGCAGAAAGACTCATCTGTCTCCCGAGGAACAGCTGGTAGTTTCAAACTGCTGACCTTAAGGTTCGCCGCCCGATTCGTAACCACTACGCTACCAGAGCTCCTTGTCGTTGTTGTTAAGTGCCGTTGAGTCATTTCCGACCCATAACGACCCTGTATATGGTTTCAGAGGAGCAGCTGGTGAGCTTAAACCAACCACCTTGCAGTTAGGTGAATCAAAATACCATAGCTTGGGGCACGTGCAATTTAGTCCTGAAACTGACATCTTTGCTGTTAAATACTTTCAAGAGGTCTTTTGCATCTGATTAGGCTGCTTTTGATTTCTTGACTGCTGCTTCTCTAAGTGTTGATTATGGAATCCAAGCAAAATGAAGTGTTTAACAATTTCAATCTTTTTTCTGTTTACATCCAGAGTATCAGACAAGCTCTTAAAACCCAATAGTAAATAAACCAAACATTTCAATAAAATATAAGAAAAAGCAACATACATGGAGACGTTTCACCTACAAATAAGCTCATGAAAAAGTATTAAACATTATTATCCATTGTTGTCGTCATTGTTGTTAATTGCCATTGAGTTTGTTCTGACTGTTAACAACCCCCCCCCCCCACATAGGATTTCCTAGGAGAGGTTAGTGGGTTTGAACCGCTGACTTTGTAGTTAGCAGTCCAGTACTTATCCTAGAATACCACACCAGGACTCCACTAGAGAAATGCAAATTAATACCATGGTGAAATATCTCTACAGACTTATTGTTGTATCATTGCTGTAGAGACGATTCTGACTCATAGTAATTCTATAAAAACAGAGTAGAACTGTCCCATAGGGTTACTAAGATGCAATCTTAAGAGGAGGCAAGATTGAAGGTTCATATGTTTATATATATGTATGGGGGTAAAAAGCTTGTGGAAAAATTTCATTGTCTTTTCATTCAAATTTTCTGTGAACTCCTTGAAGTGCCCTCACATACATTGGGGTTCCTGGTGTGGTGCTGTAGGATAAATTTTGGGCTGTAAACTACAAATTCTATAGTTCAAACCTAACAGTTGCTGTGCTGGAAGAAGACGAGGCTTTCTGTTCCCACAAAGATTTACAATCTCAGAAACCTTATATAGGCTCACTCTATGAGTAGGAATCCACTCAACTGCACTTAACATCAACACAAATGTATGTATTGACAATAGCAAAGGCTGGCAAAGCTGTTGAGAAAATGGATCTCTCATACATTGCTGGTGGAAATGTAAAATGGTACAGACACTCTGGAAAATAGATTGCCAATTTCTTTTTTAAAAACTTAAGATACACTTATCAAAGGAACCCTAGTAACATAATTGATTATCCTAGCTTGTGGTTGGGCTGCTAACCACAAGGTCCGTGGGGTGAGTCCACTAGCCACTCAGTGGGAGAAAGATGAGGCTTTCTACTTTCACAAAGATGAACAGGCTCAAAACTGTACACAGGGTGGCTATGAGCTGAACCGACTGCACACCACCACCATACTTATCCAAAACTCAACAGCCACACTTCTAAGCATTTCCCAGATAAATGAAAACTTATTAACACACATAATTGCCATAGGTCAAAAGGGAAATACCAAAATGTCCTATGCATGGGGTTAAACAAACAGTGGTGCATCTGTGCCATGAAAAAAATACTATTGATATAAGCAACAACTTCCATGCATATAAAGTCATTGGACTGATTCGGGGGGAGGAGGGAATCTTTATCAAGAGGTCATACACTGTATGATTCTATTTATATAACAAAAGTAGGAAGTAGAGAAATGGAGAACAGATAGTGCAAGTGGTTATAGGTGGCTAGAGGAAGGACTAGGTGTGACTAAGGGTAGCTCAGGGGATATCTTTTTAGTGATGGAATAGTTCTGTATCTTGATATTGATGGTGGTTGCAGCAATCTATGCTATGATAAAATGCTTGAGCTATACACACACACTGTACCAATGTCAAATTCTTAGTTATACAATCATATAATAAACCCATTAACTTTGCCTGTATTCCAGTTTATAGCGACCCTATGGGATTGAGTAGAACAACTTCATCAAGTTTTGTTGTTGTTATGTGCAGTTGAACTGGTTCAGACACATAGAGACCCTCTGGAGGTGCTGTAGGTGAGGTGCTGTAGGATCAACTCTGGAATTAGAACCACAGTGTCAGCAATTCAAACCCACCGCTGCTACTAAGAAATTCTATATAGGGTAGCTATGAGTCAGAACAGACTCTACACACTTAACAACAACATGGGGTTTCTGAGGCGTGACTGTTGAATTTGAACCGCCGAACGTGCAGTTCAAACTGACTTTGAAGTCCAGTGCTTATCCTACAGCGACACATAAAGTTTGTTGTCTTTAAGTGCCAATGAGTCGGTTTCGACTCATAGTGACCCTGTATAATTTTTGAGGAGTGGCTGGTAAGTTTTAACCACCGACTTTGCGATTCAAACAGACCTTGTGATCCAGTGCATATTCTACAGAGCCACATCAGGACTTGATAAGAGAAAGTACACTGAGTTTGTTGTTGTTGTTTGTTGTTAAGTGCCATCAAGTCGGTTCCGACCCATAGCGACCCTGTATAGGATTTCGAGGAGCAGTTGGTGAGCTTGAACCACCGACCTTGCAGTTCCAACGGCTTTGCAGTCTGGCGCATTAACCCACAGCGCCACACCAGGACTCCTGAGTTTGTTGTTATGTGCCGTGGAGTCGGTTACGACTCATAGCGACCCACTACAGGATTCCGAGGCTGTACATCTTTACGGGACCAGAAAGCCTCATCTTTCTCCAGCGGAACAGCTGGTAGCTTCGAACTGCTGACCTTAAGGTTCACAGCCAGATTCGTAACCACTACCAGAGCTCCTTAGGACTCCTGCGTTTAGGGGACTGTAAAGCTTAAAGGGAACAGACAACCTCATTTTTCTCCTGCAGAGCTGTTGGTAGATTTGAACCCTATCATCTTGCCGCTGTGGAGCTGCAGGATAAGTCCAGCAAGGTCTGTGGGTAAAACCCAACAGCCTTTCCTGTGAAACCCTGTATAGGTTTGCTATGAGTCAGAACCAGCTGGATGGCATTCAACAACACAGGTAGCAGCTCAACGCCTAACCCATTACAGTAGCAGGGCTCCTTAACTGTGCAATAAGTCAAAATATAATCAATGGAATACCGTTTTTGAAACTTTATGTGTTCTATAATTATTTAAGGAGACCAAGTTGGCTCATAAGGATAAACCACAAAGGTCCATTTGAGTTCACCAGCAGCTCCATGAGTGAAAGATGAGGTTTTCTACTTCTGCAAAGATTTACAGCCTCAGAAGCCCGATAGAGGATTGCTATGAATCAAAACTGAGTCGAGGGCACAAAAACAACATAATTATTTCCTTTTTTTATTTTTTCAAATAAAGCTCACATTATTTCCTAAGCAGAGAAAGCTTGGAACTGTGGACAACCCCAATACTCAATTTCATATTATTAATTAGCATGACTGTAGAAAAGCATAGAGCAGCAGAAAGGTGGGGAGGTCTGAAGAGTCTCCTGGCCCCCAGGGTGTTGGGAGGCGAGGTCTGGTCCGCGCCGCCGCTGCGGAGTTGTGAGTGGAGCGCAGCGAAGGTCTAGCCCCACCCTCCAGCGCTCCGCTGGGCCAGAGCTGAAGACCGAGAGGCGCGGGGACACTTATATAGCTCAATGGCATTCCGTGCGATGGCAGAGCTTCGCCCTAGAGAAGAGCTTCAGAAGAAGTTTCTTTGAACCGCGAACAGTTTTGGTCAATGGAATTGAGCCTCCCAGGCTTTCGCTCCCTGACTCTTTATCTTGGGTTAATCCGCGCGTTGCTTTTCTGCTCCGGGATCATCTCGGGTGCGGACCGGAGCCCTCCTGCTCGCCTGACTTCCGCGTTTCAGAGGGAGAGAGGTATCTTGCCGGCTCCCTTCGCCTCCGGCAGTCCTCGCCTCCCCACGCGGGGGTTCGTGCCCCGTGGCTGATGCCTATGGCTGGGCTGTAGCGGGCGGTTCCCAGGCGCCCGAAGGAGCACGAAATGCAGTCGCTAAACATCACTCCGGAGCAGTTTTCCCGGCTGCTACGGGACCACAACTTGACACGCGAGCAGTTCATTGCGCTGTACGGTCTGCGGCCGCTCGTCTATACCCCTGAGCTGCCAGGGCGCGCCAAACTGGCCTTCGTGCTCACGGGCGTGCTCATCTTTGTCCTGGCACTCTTTGGCAACGCGTTGGTAGTCTATGTAGTGACCCGCAGCAAGGTCATGCGCACGGTAACCAACATCTTCATCTGCTCCTTGGCGCTCAGCGATCTACTCATCACTTTCTTCTGCATCCCGGTCACGATGCTCCAGAACATCTCTGACAACTGGCTTGGGGGTAAGCGAGCCTGCGACCCACTTTTCCCTTAGCTCCTGCTGTCCAGTTTGCATTCCCCACCCATTCTGACTTCCCTACTTTTCTTTCTCTGCCAAGTGAACCTGGTCATTGTTCTTAGAAATTCCTCACCTCAGCTCACATAGAGAAAAAAGTTCTTCCATACTTCCAGCATTTTCTTAATGCAGTTTAGAATCACAGGTCAGGGAAAGGTAAAGGGGTCCAGGGCACAGAGGTTGGGGGTCACACCATTCTCCATTCATTCTGGCTCCCTTTCAATAATTACACATTTTATTTCTTTATTGTTTAAAACTCATGAAAGTAGCATAAATAAAATAATTAAAATACTCACATTCCAAAGTTAACATTTTACCCCTTACTTTCCTCCAGACTCATTCTCTGGGCTTGTGTGGCTTTGAGACATATTTTTGTACATACAAGCCTGTATTTATAAGATTAAAAACATTTTAAGAAGTAAATGTAATACATTCATAGAAGGAAAATTTGGGACTAGACCTTCTTTCCAAAAATTGGACTTGCAGAGTCACACAGAAAACATGTCCCCGTCTGACTGATAAAGGAGAGATGAAATTATCCTTCTTCCATAACAGGAGAGCAGAAATGGCAGAAAAGCAGTTTTGAGGCATTGGGTTGCATATAGTGTATGGAGACTGGAAAATAACAAAACAAGACATCATACTTCCCCTAGTGATTCATTCTTTCCAAAGTGAAGTGACTAGAGAGTGTTCTGTTGTAATTTTATAAATAGTAGGCCTTGGAGTCCCTCTGTTGCTTATGGTGTATCTTGAGAAGTACCCCTGCTTTCATGGGTGAGTGTATTCTTATGTCCACATGAAAATTTCTTGGAAAATGGTTGCAAACAAAGTGAATGCGTGAGAAATGAGTCATAGTGCATTCAAGTTCTGCTATTTTCCCCACTTGGTTAATTCCTTTGAAGCTCTAGATGCTGTTTCTGTGAGCCTACCATTACCAATATAAAATTTGCAATTTCTTTTCCTGGCATTACTTTTTCCCACTAACTTGTATTGAGTTTATTGCTATTAAGTTAGGATGCTGATATCTTTTTTCTATATCATAAAAATAAAGTAAAATAATGCTTTATTTTTAGATAAAATTATATATTCTTCTTTAACTGATTGTGCTTTTGTATCAAATTTAGTAAATCTCCACCAAGCCCCAGGTCCAAAGATATACTTATTATTATTATTTTAGTTTCATTGTTTTTTGAGGAAAAGGAACAGGAATTTCACTTATAATTGTTTGAAAGGCAGATTTATGAAGCATATCTGTACTGCTGGGTGATTATAGCTCCATTTCTAATGGTGAACATAATTAGAAAAATGGGATCATATTCTGGAAATTGAAGTGGACTTGAAGTGAAGAGGACATGAAGCACTGAAGAAGATTAAAAACTATAGCCTTTAGTATGGAATGCATCTCAACATGGAGTCCTGGTGTGGTACTTTGGGTTAATGTGCTGGACTGCAAGATCGGTTTACCACAAGGCTGGTGGTTCAAACTCACCAGTTGCTCCTCGAAAACACATTATATGCGGTCAGAACTGACTCAACAGCACTTCATAATAACAACATTTCTCAACATAAAACAAAAATCCTTTCTACTGGACCAATAAATAATATCTGATAAATGGAGAATAGATTGAAGTTGTCAAATGTTTCATTTTGTTTAGATCCATAATCAAGGTCCATGGAAGCAAGAATTAAGAAATCAAATGATGTATTGCATTGAGCAAATCTGCTACAAAAGACCGCTTTAAAGTATTAAAGAGCAAATATGTCACTCTGTGAACTAAGGTGTACCTGACCCAAGCCATGGTATCTTCAATTGCCTTAGATACATGGGAAAGCTGGACAATGAAGAAAGAAGACTGAATAAGAATTGATACCTTTAAAACATGGTGTCAATGAAGAACATTGACTATAACATGGGCTGTCAGAAGAATGAACAAATCTGCCTTGGAGGACATACAAACAGCATGCTCCTTTGAAGCAAGGATGACGAGACTTCATTTCACTTACTTGGGACATGTCATCAAGAGAGACTAGTTCCATTTTCTAAAATGTATAGAAAACTTCAACCTCCATAAGAAAAAGACAAATAATGCAATTTTAAAATGGGCAGATGACATGAACAGACAATTCACTAAAGAAGATATTCAGGATACCAACCAACATGTGCAGACAGGGTCACAGTCACCATTGTTTTTGCTACATGCCATGGAGTTATTTTGGACTCATAGTAACCTTGTAGATGATTTCCAGGAATGGCTGGTGGGTCTGAACCACTGACACACTGGTGTGTGGTTAACAGTCCAGTGCTCATGCTAAAGCACTACACCAGATTCCATTAGCCATTTGTTGTTGTTAAGTGCTGTGGAGTCAGTTCTGACTTAAAACAACCCTAAATAGGATTTCCGACCTTTTTAATCTTTGAAGGAGCAGAAAGCCTTACCTTTCCCCCGCAATTGCTAGCAGGCTAGAACCACAGAGCAGAAAGCCTTACCTTTCTCCTGCAACTGCTAGCAGGCTTGAACCAAAGTTCACTTCCCAGTGCTTATCCCATTAGCCCCATTTGTTGTTGTTAAGC